AAGAAATTAATCAGACAACTAAAAATATATAGAAAAAATTAGCCAGGCATGGTGGCGCATGCCTGTAGTCCCAGCTATTCAGGAGGCTGAGGCAGAAGGATCGCTCGAGCCCAGGAGTGTGAGGTTGCTGTGAGCTAGGCTGACGCCACGGCACTGTAGCCCCAGCAAAAAGAGTGAGACTCTGTCTCAAAAAAAAAAAATAAATAAATCAAAAAAAAATAAAAAGTGACATTCTCAGAAACCTCCAAAGAGAGGCTTTTTCTTCTCCTTAGAAAAGAATAAGAAATTGTTAAAGTGTTCAAAAAAATCTGGCAAATATATTAATATATTTCCTCCATTCATCAGCTTGAGGCTTGATAAAGATGTTGGGACACATTTTGGCAGTATCATAGCATGACTTGAAAAGAGGCTACATCCCAGCCCTTACCACACCTCCTGGCTCTGTGCCTTGGTTGCCATATTGGACAGTGGCAGGTGGTGGGGTAGAGTGTAAAGGTTAAAGGGCATGGACCCCAAAGTCAAAGGTCTGTGTTCTAAATTTGGTTCCATGAGTTTCTAGCTCTGTACATTTAAGCAAGTTACTTTTCCTCTGTATATCTTATATAATATTAGTATCTGTCCCACAAGTTTTTGTTGAAGGGATTAAATCAGTTAATTTTTGTGATATTCCCAAAATAGTGCCTGGCACAGAGTAAATGCCAGATAACTGTGTGTTAGACACATAAAATTAGAACAAAAGGAAGAGAAGGAAGTTGAAAAGGCGAGAAAGTGAGTGAAAGTGCCTGACTGTAGAAGTTGGCACACAGAGAGGGCAATTTTTTGCACCTGTGCCCTCTGAGGAAATGAGACAAGAGAAACAAAAGCAGCACAGAAACTGTTAGACCTTGTTATCTCCCTGACCCAATGTACTTGCCTCCCTCTGCACACCCTACCGGGAACTAATATTGTAAGTTTCTAAATTAATTGCTTGCCTTGTAAAATGATCATGTTTAAGAATCATCTCCTTCTAAAGAGAAGAAAAAAACTTGTACAGCTATTTTAGGGGGATGGAAATTAGCATATATTTACCCATTAGTTAAGTGGCCTCACAGGTACAGATTCCTGTAGATTATTGAGAATGGCCTTAGGCTGA